GTGTGTGTGTGTGTGTGTGTGTGTGTGTGTGTGTGTGTGTGTGTGTGAGTGAGCCAGGCAGGATCAGAGTGGGAGGACGGCTGTCTGTCGTGTCGCTGTGTCAACGCGAAGAAACTGTGCCAGTTAAGATGTCCACCACTCCACTGTGATGAGGTGAGACACACACTGACACTTATCTGTCTGACTGTGTATTTGTACTTGAATTGAATTAAGTATGACTATCTTTGGCTTATCCTAAATACCAGAAAAATACCAGATACTTTATTGGATTAAGGAAGAAATCCTGTGAATGTTGCGTTAAAGATGTCAATCTTGCATCATTGTTCTCACTGGCTGAATATACCCAGAGACACTAAAGGGATAGCTTGCTCAGTAGGAACGGTATAACAAAATCTCTGAGAAATGGTTTCATATATCAGCATTTTGTACAACAGAGTAGTTATTTAGCTGGGCTTTGTTTATTCAGTTCATCTCTCTGAGATCAAGCTATCCTGAAAACACATCACATGTACTGTACTTGTATGCAATACCATAACAAGACAATTCAGTCACCCAAACACCATCTCACAGAGACATGGACTCATACAGAAGTAGCACAGGATCGCACCGCTGTTGTGCCGCATGTCGCTTTATACGGAAGTAGTAGCCCTCTACATTCTTTAAAACAGCAGCCGTATGCTGCGCTGACCATCCTGCTACGTGCATTATTCAATCATTCAATGGGAATGTCCGTTCTACTCCAACTCCATTTCTATACATGGACTAGTATGTAGGCTGTATAAAACACCCACACATATAGTTAGAAATAGTAAAAAGTAGAGCTGCACTGTGTCTGAGAGAAAGGTGTCTCTAACTGACTCTAAGTTTGTTTTGCAGTTCATGACAGTAGTAAGGTGCACAGCCCTGAAACCAGTCGACCCTACTAAAGCCAATCTATTATGGGATGTGTGATTTGTCAATTAAGAAAACTAAGGAGGTTTAATATCTAAGCACCTTATATATCATGACGGAGATATGCTGATACTTTCCAGATGTCAGTGATGACCATCCGACATTAGGGAGTACCAACTAACGGTCACTAGTGGAGGAGGAGCATATGAACTGTAACACTCTGTGTTCCCTCTCACAGCCATCTGAACAGTGCAGCTCTCAACAGAGACTTTTGATCTGTTGTTGCACCGGACGTCTTTCAAACCACAAACGCTTCTGTAGAAAATGAGGCCAGTAGAGCTCGTTTTCTTTTGCTATTAACTCCTTAATGTGAAGCATTTTCTTCTTCCAACTCTTCCGTACAGAGCGATGTCTGTGAGTTATGGACAGTTCAATTGAAGTGTGATTTACTCTTATCAGATTCAATTGGATGATGAAACTACGAGAGTATTTAATGAGAGAAAAGGTAAAGATTAAAAGGAATAATCTATTTCTCTTAATGGCCCTTAAATGAATCTTGCGACTCCTTGTGGGCGTCCTGGCATCTTATTTTATTTTTCCAGTTACAGGTAGGAGAGAGATGAAGGTTCACATACAGAGATCAGTCTCACAGACTAACTCATCAGTCCACCCCGACCCCGAGGGGGTTACAGGTCACACAGCTCTGTTGGTCACAAACATCTCAATCACCGTGAGTGAGGGGAATAAATGCTCTACTCCCTCAAGAACATGGGGGATGTTCTCTGCAAGTCGCCGGCTGAAGTAGATCAATACCTGACCGTCCGATCCTCCCACAAGCCTGCACTTACTCGTTCACCGGGCCCTTCTACTGCACCTCCCACCAAACACTCAGTCCTGGTCTCCCCGTAATGAAGTGTCATTCCAAACCGGCGAAGCTGAAACCTGTTCTGCTGAATGAATGGTACCATGCCTGATATTTAAGTTTCTACTGTATATTTTAAATTCTAATCAAGTCAGTTTATTTTGCAACAACACGGTGTAGGTAATTGGATCGGCATGCATGAGGGATTATGGGTACAAGTGCATGCTTGCCATTGCTGGTGACAGCACATCACCAAAAACACGTGACTGCCTTCATTCATCACATCATGCTCTATCATACGTGTTCTGTAGGAGTGGGTAACAGCTGTTCATCTCGCCTAAGACGCTGGTCAATTATGTATGTGCTCTGTAGAACCTAGAGGCAGATAAAGAAAACAATGAAATATGAATACATTTTGCCACCACATGAATACAGATTGAATCCAGTCCTTTGGATGTACGTACATAGAGGAGAAGGGTTGAACAATGTTCCACTAAACATCGTTTGTATCGTCTCACTGAGGCTGCTCTGCGTGGACCAACTCTTTTCTCCTAAACATCCTTGAGCAGTGCTTCTTCTCCCCTCAGCTGCAGCTCTGTGCCATATGTCACTGGTAATGAAATCATCCCTTTAACAAGGAACAGAGTCTACAGGGACACGAGCCGCTCTGTGAGGCTGCACTCAGGGACAGCAGCGCTTTGAGCTAAATGCTAACGTCGGCGCGCTAACATGCTCACAAAGATAAAGCTAACATGCTGTTTACCATGTTCATCACATTCGTTTGTAGTTTAGCCTGTTAGAAGTCTAACGTTTGCTAATTAGCACAAACTAAGTACAGCTGAGGCTGAAGAGGATGTCATTGGTTTTGCAGGAATCTGATCATGAGCCAAAGTATTGGACAAATTGGAAGAATTTGAACAGTTATTACGTCATCTTGACGACAATATGATGTAGTACAATATAGTTGTTTGTCAAGCGGTTGACTCACCAACCGGCCAAATGACATAGACTTGCGGCCAGCAAACATGAAGAGAGGACGGGTTGTAAAACGATGTTTAAGAGGAAAATAATTGCAATTATCATTGATTTCTGTGTCGTTAACATAATGACAGCTTCGGAGTGAACTTGAACATTTGTTCTAATGAACAGTGTCTCAAGTTTCAGGCTCTTTACCTCTATTTCTATCTGAAGCAGGACTAGATGAACTCACTGCATGGCTACATACTGACTGACCCTTTAAAGACCGACAGCCAAGAGACATGGAGAGAATTTTCCATTCTTATGCATTTGTTTTTCAGAAGCAACATGATGGTAGCCTTACTTCGCAGGATACCACAGACTACAGTTTGAACATATTTTGTGAAGGGAAGTGTTCTCATTTACATAGTTCCGTCTCCCTCCTCCAGGTCATATCTGTCCCCTCTATCTCTATCAGATGCAGAAGTGAATGAAACCTGTTAGTTTGGTCTAAAAACGACTCTCACAATGACTACAAAAAGGATCTTTGTTCTTCTTTCATTGATTCTCTTGTCTGAGAAAAAAGGTCAGAGAGAAACATATTTTTGGGTGAACTAACCCTTTATATAGAAAGCGACCCACTAATGGCTCCACCACTTAATCTGAAAAAGATCTTCTTCTCTCTGTTAGTGCTGACGTTGAGAAAAGTCCCAGCAGAAAAGTCAACCGTCTCGTCTTTGACACAGCAAGCTGGATGTATGTCTACAGCTCACCGGGCTGTGTGAAGGCCGGGGGGATAAAAATAACCTCCAGAAGTTTAAAGGGAGAGGTTGATAGCACAGAGAGCTCCACAAAGTCAACAGTGGACTGAGTGGTCCACCTGTGGTGTGCACTGGTCCTTACGCCGGTGCAGCGTGTCCCTGGAGGGTCGTGCGTTGTGTAACTCTCTCTCCTCCCCATGGCTGCACGAAGTTAAGTTATGCCTCAGTGAAGGCACTCCTCATACCGGCCCAATATGAAAAGGTCATTTAATGCACAGTGTTCCCTCTCCCGACAACCTGCAAATTGGTTAGTGACAGTGCACTCTGTTATTTATGACTCAGCTTACAGTTGAGCACAAAACTAAATCTCCCAACATGCCTCCACTGGGACGCCCTCTTCAAGGTAACGGATTAAATCTTCTGTTATCATATCAGGTGATGAAAGCCATCAGGCTGTTTTCCTCCTTCTTTTTCTGTGCCAGACACATTAACAGAGCTGGTGCCTCCATCTCACGGCCTGAAGACGACACTAATTTGACCACCCATTACTTTGAATGCCAAGAGCCCCTTCCTTTGAAAGGACAAGGAATCCACATTTCACACTGTTTTCCACCTCCAGACGCACATACAGTCTCTTAACTCTTGGGACTTAAAGTGGCCTTCTTGGTGACCCCCTAAGTGGGTGGGCTGCTTCCGTTCCTGAAAGGAGGCCGGCGGCAGTGCAGAGTGGAAAGGAGAAGTCCTCGGGGTGAAATGGTGTGTGTGCGTTAGAGACATTTTCTAGTTGGGTGAAGTTTCAGAGGTGAGCTGAGTCTGGTGTTGGTGTGGGTGCTGAAGCTTGCTGTCAGACTGTGTGTGTGTGTGTGTGTGTGTGTGTGTGTGTGTGTGTGTGTGTGTGTGTGTGTGTGTGCGTGCGTGAGAGAGACTATGCTAACAGCAGATATTCTCAGACAGGGACACCATGCTGATCTCTGGACTGTTCTAGATCTCTCTTCCTCAGTAGCTTCGCTCCCTCTGTCTATGTCCTTTGTGTCCTTTCAGCACTGTCTTGCTATTTTTGGTCCCTATGTATGTTGTGCGTCTTTTAGAAACAATGTATTTCCTGTCCTTACCTGTTTCTATGCTGGTTTCTCAACCCTGGTCCTCATGACCCATGATGTCTCAGGTTTCAATCAGTCCTAAGCAGTGCTCTAGGAGGTGAGACCTGGGACTGATGTCTCATAGTTACCATTGAATGTACCAAGATGAATCTTGCGCCACCTTCAGGTGTTCTGTACTTTGATTTATACTCAAACCTAATGACATCTCCCACATTGTGTTAAGTGTTAATGTTAGCATCTTCTATGCTGAGCTGAGATAGTGACCCTGCTGAACATTATATGAATATATTTTGAAACTCATGATTCTCAGACAGGGACACCAGTATGTTAGTCTGGGTGATGTACCGCTATGTGCTTTCTTTTTTTTAGATGATAACTGACACGATTAGCATGTTGTTCATTGTTTGCTCATCATT